AWTRAWTTTTYMAMYWWTKRWTTTTTTTTTAATTTTGTCACAAATTGAGGATGTAGTTGTCACATAAATTGAAGATGTAGAAGTTGAAAAAACATATTGATGATTTATTAGACATAACAAGCGCAAGTAAGATCAAAGTCGTTTTTGACCATTAAAACGTTACTTAAGCATTTTTTGGACCTTGAAAACCTTTGACAGGACCAAAATTATTTGAAAGAAGGAAGGGCGCCACATTGTGAGATTTTCAACAATGTAGCCAATGTAAAATCTCTTTAATTTACCCAGAAAAAAAATCATACAAGAACAGTTATTTAGCAGAACAAAGCCAGCGTCGCCGAAAATATAGTTTTCGTCAAAAATAATTCCGATATTCCGTATAGAGATCGGAGGGCATTCGGGAGATCCCGATTAGATACCGAGGCCAAACTTCTGACTTGGATACGTGACTGCTGTGACACAATTTAGCGTAAATATCTCGGGCTAAAAATCTTTATCGAAACCGAACCTTTATATAACTGGCGTTTCTTTTCGATCTAAATTTCATATATCGATCCGTTTTTTTGACGCCATTTGCAAACGATCAATTAGCAAAATTTTATAAACAAAGTCAAAGATCACACTTCGTGACCTTGATGATTCTAAAAAAAACAATCAAGTCAAAAATGCAGCCGAGACACGTCTCGAATTTTTATTGAGGTAAGGCAAATAACACTCTGTTCGCAGGGTACGACATGTGTCGATCAACTTTTGAACTGTTGGTGCATTTTCAGTAAACCTCGTGCAAAGGATCTCTTTAAGGTAACACATAGGAGTTTCTTTTGCCATTTGCTTGCCTGTATGGTTTTCAGTGGAATGGATCAATTCGTAAGTATTAATAGCCGACTTGCGAATTACGCATCAATAGTCACATACAAAGGAATCAAGACGAGGCGCCGTGCTTTTTTGTGAAAAATCTATTGTCTTTAGCACGGCGCCTCGTCTTGATTCCTTTGTATGTGACTATTGATGCGTAATTCGCAAGTCGGCTATTGAAAGGGCTCCCGTTGGACTGACGTCAAAAAAGACGTCACAAAACTAAGAGAGGCCTTGTATCTAATGAACCCTAGGCTGCTAGGTAGTTAATAATGGAATTCGAGCAAGCTTTCGTCGTCTACAGCATCGTCAAGGGATGAAGATTGAAAACGGAACACAGAGTTATAACATGCTGAGCGATTTGCACATGACGTCATCAGTCGAAAAAATTTCTAAAATCACAGACACACAACATTGCAGTACTAAAATACCTTGAAGAGCATGATAGAAGTTCTCTCYRAAAGTWTWWACKTTTTTTGCTGTTTATTCGTTGAGTTATTAACGTTCAAAAATATGTCACGCAATACTGTCACGCGACTTGAAAAGCGCCAAATAAACCTCGGAAAGCCTATTAGTTTTAAAGCAAGTATAGCCTCAGCATTAAATTAATTGTTTAAAATGTTATTGTTGTAAAAATAAATCAAAATCATTAGTTTTTACCTCAATTCGACGCTCGGAGTTACTGTCCGCCATGTTCGCGTACTGGATTAGTACACTGTCATGGCGTTTCCCTACATTCCCTTGTAAAGTAAGACCGTATTCAAACGCTTATATTTTTGCTACAAAATCTCAGTTTGACTTCAAACTTTGCATAACTGTTGGGAATTATATGCTGTTTTTGGCCTTGGATATAAAATATTACCCTGCGGGCAGAGTGTATTTCCTTACCTCAATAAAAATTCGCGAATTTTTATTGAGGTAAGGAAATACACTCTGCTCGCAGGGTAATAAAATATTCATTTCGATCTTAAAACAAAGATTTTTGTAGGTATTTCTTGACTAGTCTAAAACGCATTGAGCCGTGATAATCCCATACATTCTTACCAATTTTCGATCGCTCGTATTTCTGTTAAAAAGCATTATTTTGGCTCAAAATTTCGTTTTGATCCTTTAATTTAGATGTTCTCTTGAGAACAATAATATATTCCGCTAATTGTGCCTCTAAATAGCACGTGATCAGTGAAAACCGAGAAAAAATAGTAACGGCGATATCCAATCAAGCCACCAATGGCGACACAACTCGAAGATTGTCAGACAATAAATCTGGACATAAGTCTGTATAAAGCCTCTTACGAAGGATAAAGTTTCATATGAATCGATGAGAATTAAATCACTAATCGACGTGGATGGTAATAATCAGGCTAGTAACGAGGTCTTGGGATCAGGGATCAGCGTCATTTTTTGGACTATTTTGGGATCAGGGATCAGTAGGATTTAGGCCCAGGATCCAGATCAAATGGATTTAACCTGGGATCAAAGGTTTTTCATTTGGGATCGGGATTAATGATATTTTTCAACGATTCTGTAAGAGGATCACGGCTCAAAATGTACTGAGTTTTGGGATCGGGATCACATTTTTAGACCGTTTTGATCCGGATCAACAGCAAAAAAATATACCTCGTTACTAGGCTGGAATAATCCTTGAAATCATCGTAATAGCAATGCTGTATTTATGAGCCATATTCACACGATATCTCCTAAAACGACTTCTGAAATCAACAGATTCTTATACAAGAACTTCCAGCCCTCAAAAATCACATTTTGTGTGTTTAAAAATCCATTTCTGTATCAAAACACCTGGCCATCTTGGTTACGGATTTCTAAATGCCCGTATGTTTACAGAAAAAAAATTAGTGACTAATTAACTAGTCCCCCTCACACATCATCTCCCTCATCTCCCTCCTATAACTCTTCGATTGCTTCGCAATCTTCGAGTTAAAAANCAAGAATTAAAGAAACCTTTTAACAACCTCGATTCTCCTGTGAGATGGAAGGGCTTGGAATTGGTTTCCATCGAGATACATGTCACCCCATGTGCACACAAGGAGAGATGGATGAGAGAGAAGGGAGACCCCAAAGAACATGCCAAACGCTATGTCGCCAGCTTTCGTACTTGGAGTAATGCTACGTTTATATCAGGTTGGCGAAACTAGATATTTGTGAAATAGTAAGGACAATGAAAAATATTTTCGTTTGATGCCATTTGCATCGTAAATTCCCGTCGCTTCATGCGACGTTAAAACGTGTTGGCAATGGTTATGAATAGACAGACATCTTTACTTTATTGCCGTCTCCTGTCGGACGTCAATCTTTGTTTTGCAATTCGTAGGTCTATCAGATTCGCGGTCTGCCGAGGAGAAATCAAAGATCGTGGATGAATTTTATCATCGCTGTGAATCACTGGTAGCCAAGCAACCTGAGGATCATGGGTTTGATTTTGTGGAAGCCTACATAGTAATACGAAAAAGAGAATAAATTGTAAAATTTGGAAAGTTTGTGACATCATTGAATAAAAAAGTAAAAGTCCCAATAGCCGCAGGATCAGTGTATAATTATCTAGTACTGGCGATTTCCATTGAAACATCTATTCTTGGTGTGCAACCATATGACCAGGGATCCCCTGAGAAATAAAGAACAAAGCTATCGCCGCCATGTTGGATGAATGAACAAGAGAAACAAATGAGGAATGCTTTGTGATTTTCATCCAACATGGCGGTGATGACGTAACTTGCACACCACGAATTCTGCAAGCTTGACGAAAGGGCAGGTTACGATTACCCTAGACTTTACTGGTGGCTTATATTCACACAAAATCGGGCATGTACCCAAACCTCAGCAAACATGCAAACGAACGCCACTCTTTTCAATGTGTCACTAATTGAAATGTCGTTTCTTTAAGTCGTTCGAGTGGATTTCACAAATGATCTTCTTCCAATCAACCCTACAATCCTATACAAATGCAATATGAAGTGAGACAGTTAACACACAACTGTTAAGTTAAGCTGCTTTATTAAGCCGCTGCTTTCAATAAATCCGTGGATATATTCTACCCTCGACCAAATGACAGAAAATTAACGTGGTTTTGAGTCCACTGCGAGGTCTTAAAATCCAATATGGCGGCTTTTTCCCTGACCATGATTGCCGATTCATCTCCTTGAAGAGTTGCTCGCAATTTTTTTTAGATTCTTCACAACAAATGCTGCATTTGTTCCTAATCTTACTATATAAAATCACCCTTTACTCCGACGAAGGATTAACGTCCGAAACGTCAGTAAGTTATTTCACATACTTTTTTTTACGGTGTTGATTTTCTACAGTTTGTTAAACTTGAGCTTTTATCTTGTTAAAGACGTCAAAAATGCTCGTACCTTTTAGGGTCTGGAATCGATACCTTAATTTATTTATGATCTCTCGCGTATCTTCATCAGTTCATTAATAGAGAGGACTGCATTCTATTAACTTAAGGTATCTTCAAGCGACCACAGCATTCTGTTTATCATATAATTACATATGAAAGCAAATTATGTCCTAAAATACCATTTCCCTTACTTCCACTATATAGAAAAACCTCGAATGTGTTATTTTCACTAGTGAAAATATCAACTTTACGAAATGGAGAACTATATAGGTATTTCATAGATAATTATATGATCATTAACAACGCTATCAGTTTCACTAGAACATGAACTATGATTTTTTTCATCAATCCAGATCCCTCACAGTATGCACATTGCATACACACCAGATGGATTGGGTACTTATTCAGCTAAAGCTCTTGGATATTACAAGACAAACGCAAATGCAATTCCTTTGGTCCTGGAAGCGATCAAATCCAGTCTTGTTAAACCTGGCTCTGTATTCACCATAGTGGATTATGGTACAGCTGACGGAGGGACATCAATACCGTTGATGTATGAATCAGTGAAGGCAATACGAGAAAAGTATGGAGWAGAAATGCCAATCACTATCATCTATGAAGACCAGCCTGTCAATGATTTTAAGTCAGTCTTTATGAGAATGCAAGGTACCAGAAAATAACTGAATCAAAACATGACTGGTAAAAAAATTTTCATTCATTCCTTGTGGGTCTGGATTGTCGTTTTAACAATAGAAAAGTTCGTGGATTCTTTTGACCTCAACCGAGAGTGGGGCAATGAACCGGCTGGTTGATCGTATTTTGCTTTACCCATAAAACATCACAGTCTTGTTTTTGTTTTGTTTTGTCTCAGGTTTTATCCCAGGACCGCGTTCTTATCTCATGGATTTCCAAAATGTCTTTGTAATGGCTTGTGGGACGAACTTCTACAGTCAATGTGTCCCAAGCAACAGCGTCCATCTGGGATTTTCAGCGACCTCCGTTCATTGGCTGAGGAAGAAACCATGTGACATCACAGGAGCACAATATATAGGTATGGTGGCAGACCAAAACGAAAAGGAAATGTTTTCCAAACAAGCTGAGAAAGATTGGGAGCTTTTCTTGGTTAAAAGAGCTGAAGAATTAGCACCAGGTAGAGTTCATACAAAGGTCGACAACACAGGGAGTTTTCACAATCGATGTACGTATGTAAATCTTTGCCTTGATCTCACAATTCGGTGTTCAAAAAGTTGGCGTCCCGCAAGGGCACACTCTTTGAGCTTAGATCAGTATGCAACAAGTGCTTCTAATTCGGAGCTAATCTTTGAGCCTGGCATAGATGACAGAGTATCGGATATGTTTGGATGTTCTATTACTAGTAACAATATCACGAGCCAGTACCATATTCATATTTTAGATCATTTATATACTTCAGGAGGTTATATTGTTCTTGCACAATCTGCACTCGACGAAGAAGGACAACGTTACGGTAACACAAAATGTTCTGTAGTATCGTTAGAGGAGCAGTTATGTAGTTTATGGAAAGAATTTGTACAAGAAAGAAAAATTACACAGGTCAGAGAATAATCTATCATTGAATATGACTTAATTCAGTATCATTAATATGATGAGTTAACCAACAATAAAAGTAATTATAGTGAAAAATTATTCCAAGAATAGACTCTTTACAGTGAGATTAACATCCAAATTAGGAAGAATTCAGGTGCACCACTTTTTCTGCCTACCCTCGAACTGTGGAAGAATTCAAGAAAMCTTTCAACGACCCCGATTCTCCTGTGAGACGGAAAGGTTTGGAATTGGTTTCCATCGAGATACATGTCATCCCATGTGCACACAAGGAGAGATGGATGAGAGAGAAGGGAGACCCCAAAGAACATGCCAAACGCTATGTCGCTAGTGCCATTCGTACCTGGAGTAATGCAATATTAATATCAGGTTGGTGAATTGAAACTAGATATTTGTAAAATGGTACGGAGAATGAAGTATATCATTATCAAGTATATCTGATCTAGGGGGCTTTAATTTCCTTTGATATCACATGCATCGGTGTCTCCCCGAAAGCAGTCCTATTCGCTTCTTTCAACGTTAAAACTTGTTGCTTGGTGTGTTATGCCTTTGCAAAAATAGGAACATGCCACTGAAAACGTATTCCACTTTGTTGTGGCCGATAGACTTTCGAGGGCTTCGTTATTCTTCGTTTTCAAGTTACGTCACAGCGGCCATCTTGTTGGAGGAACTTTAACAAAGGATTTCTCATTAGTATCTATTGTTCAGTCCTCCAACATGACCGCCGGTCTTTTATCTTTTTAATCGGCATGGGAATGGTTGTCAGGGAGGATTTATTTTGTTTTTGTAGGCTCAGCGACAAGAAAACAAAAGAAACCATGCCGTCGAACCGGGCAAACCCTCTTCATTTAATCAGGTCTCAATCTATACAAGAATCACGGAATACCAGTTGTAATAATGAGAAAGGGACAAAGTCTCTGACACTGAGACATCACAAGTTTATTGCCGTCAATCTGTTTTTGTAACTCTTAGGTCTGTCAGATTCGCGGTCTGCCGAGGAGAAATCCAAGATCGTGGGTGAGGTTTATCACCGCTATGAATCATTGGTAGCCAAGAACCCTGAGGATCATGGGGTGGATTTTGTACA